AATAGCAATCTAAGCCCTAAGTGTCGGCGCACACGGGCCACATGCTACAAACGCCGCCACGAGAAGCCAGAAGCGGAGAAGCGGCTACTAAAGTGGCTGAAGCGCGCTACAGCGGCCGACTAAGGTAAGGGAGACAGGGGTGGGGCATCGCGCGAGTGTCGTGTGGCGACGTTTTGTATCAGCGCATTAAGTGGCCGGTGCGGGCCACAAGAAGCGAGCAACGACGATTTGTAGCGTGTGGCGACCACCGGCGTACCGTGTGTTGCGTTGCGAGTCCATATAAAATGTATGAAAACTACAAGAAATATGCCGGTGGCGGCGTTTTGTGGTTGTGGTCGGTGGCCCGTGTGCGGCGACACTAAGTAATAATGCCAAACCGGCGACATGTATACAGGACTTTTAATAAATTATTAGTACATTAGGCAAACACAAAGGATTTTTTTCAAACAGTCAGAACCTGAAAATTACACGTAATATAATGTTCCTATTCATAAATGTTATTTGGATTCAACAACTAAGCGATGGTCATTAAAAAAAAGGTTACTTAACTAAATAAAACTAGTTTAACGGGTTAATGCACGAACTTTATTTATTTATTGACGTTTCGCAGCCTTTTCAGTGCATCAAAAATTTGGGCATTATAGAGGATAAGGGTTCCGTCTTTGCCATTTGGCTACGGAACCCTTAAAAAAGGTCCCTAATTAATGGAGAAGACTCAAAATTTCTCAAAACTTAACAGCGAGATTTCCCAAGGACATCCAGCATTACCGTAGCACATTCGAAGGAATAATTCGTCGCCGGTTTCATGGAGCCTACTATTCATCATCATCAGCTTCTTAATGTCCCCACTGCTGGGGCACAGGCCTTCCCTATGGATGGAATAGGGAGATTGGGCCATGACCCACCACGCGGGCCCAGTGCGGATTGGCGGGTGCTAACGGCTGCAGATGCAGCCGGGACCAACGGCTTAACGTGCCTTCCGAAGCACGGAAGAACTCGAGATAGAAATTTTTAGTCACCCATCCAATGACCGACCACTGCTAAAGTTGCTTAACTACAACGATCGCAGCCGAACGCGCTAACCACTTGCGCCATCGAGCTCCTCCGCCTGGCCTATTATTACGCTCGTAAAATTACTTCCGAGTCACAGATAGATACTTAAGCACCTGCGGATTTACGATCGTTCTCTCTCCCTGTCACCTTTTTTTCATTTCATTCCCCTTGTTTCCCTTGAATTTTATCGAGTAAGCGCTTCTGATATCGGCGTGAGGAAAGAAGTCGTACAGCTAATCGGATCACTTTTATTTTCCTTTCTTGGTGTCGGCAGTAACTTAATACAATTTCATTTAGTACTTACCATTATATTATTATATTCATACTCATTACCAGACCCGTCTTTCCCATTGGGCACTTTGGGCAAGTGCCCAGGGCCCCGCGATCGATAGGGGCCCACTCAGATCAAATACAAAGTCCCTAGTTCCTGTTAAATCACCAAACGGAAGTCATAGGGGCCCCATTATCCTAATATGCCCAGGGCCACCAATAAGTTAAAAACGGCACTGCTCACTACATATGTACAATAAATGGATGTCATAATAAATATGGTACTCAAACATGATTCACTAAATTAGCATGCAAATATCAAATTATTTTATAATCAATCCAATGAATATTAATATTGTAACTAGTCACATTAATGTCAATCATATTAAAACCTTAATTCCATTTAAACATTAAATAAAACTAGTTTTTACGGGTTAATGCACGAAACTTTATTTATTTATTGACGTTTCGTAGCCTTTACAGGCTACGTCGTCAGAATAAAACTTTTATTTAATTTGTCGAGCTACCTTCGAAAGACTTTTATTGAGTGTTCGGTTATTTCATTGTTCGATTTTTAAAGTTTTATTGTCTATGTATGAATTTATTATTAATTTTACTTAATAAAGTATTTTATTTAAAATTCTTTTTTGTAATTTTGAGTTTATTTGGTTTGATTCTGACGACGTAGCCTGTAAAGGCTACGAAACGTCGATAAATAAATAAAGTTTCGTACATTAACCCGTAAAAACTAGTTTTATTTAATGAGTGATGTGCGTGAAAACCTAAGAAACAAATATCCATTTAAACATGTCAATTAATCGTCATCCCCATTATACATGTCAAAAAATTCATATTATTACAATTTTTGTTCTCAGGCTTGTATTATACACAATGGCATTCATCTATGATTCTTCTTATACCTGCATGCTAAGTCTCAGCCCGATCGGTTTAAAATTAACAAAGTTTCATACAAACTTTCATTCCCTATTTTATCCCCTTGGAGGTAGAATTGATCAAAATCCTTTCTTAGTGGATGCCTACGTCACATCATCTACCTGCATGCCTTTCAGCCCGATCCGTCCAGTGGTTTGGGCCGTGCGTTGATAGATCACTATGTCAGTCAGTCAGTCACCTTTGAGTTTTATATAATAGATTGATTGGAAATAAGTTATAATTTTAGTTTAATTTACAATCATAAAACTTCAAATCATTTATTCCATTTACACATGTCAAATCATTAAGCAATCATCAAGCAAGCTTTAGTAGTACTTTATGTCATTAATAATTAATTAGCATCATTTCGTAATTTTTTAACTTACTTATGGCGCGGTTACATTTGGCCGTCAATGGAAATTAGGTAAACGTAAATGAACTGATTCGAGTACGCCGGTATTCGGGTAGTTTTCGTTTCGGTTTCCCGACACCGCTGGTAATCTCACAGCTCGTATTCCAGTGTAAATATTGCTGCGGGTGCCTGAATTCAAGTAATGTCTTTCGTTCACTCGAATATGGTTTACGACCATCTGTAATTGAGTCATTTGACTCTATCTTGGTAATGCTAGCACGTGTTTCTGTTATTCATCATCAGCCTATTAATGTCCCCACTGCTGAGGCACAGGCCTTCCCTATGGATGGGATAGGGAGATTGGGCCATGACCCACCACGCGGGCCCAGTGCGGATTGGTGGGTGCTAACGACTGCAGATGCAGCCGGGACCAACGGCTTAACGTGCCTTCCGAAGCACGGAGGAACTCGAGATAGAAGATTTTTGGTCACCCATCCAATGACCGACCGTTGCGAAAGTTGCTTTACTTCAACGATCGCAGCCGAACGCGCTAGCCACCTGCGCCATCGAGCTCCTCTTTCTCGTTTCTGTTATGACATTGTGGAATTTAGTTTTTTGTTTTATTTATTGTCGCCATCATATCACTGCCGTCCTCAAACTAAAGTGTGGCTAAGTGACATGTGGTCGATTTTTCAGTCTCAAATTACGTCTTATAAGTATTTTAATTCTCTATCGATCTGTTTTTAACAAGTATTCGTTTCTTTTGTAGTTTATGTCTAGAAATCCCTCATTTGATGAATGGTTACAAAATAGCAATAAACTAGCAAACCAGTCAACCAAATGTTCACCAAAAAAACAAAAAAAAATATGTATTTAATTAATTCAGAACTTCGGAGATTTTGTGTGATTTCGTTTGAAATAGAAATCACGTGATTTCTCGAAAACCGGAAGTGCTACGTTACTCACATCCGGTTTGTAGTCTTATCAGACTATTCTTAACTTATAACTTAAACATTCTCCATATCTATCTCTTACGGTTTGGCCGCTGAAACAGCACCACGGACGGACGGACGGACTTGTCTATTAGATAAAAGATTAAAGTTTACACGCCGTTTTATTGGCCATATCTCAAAAGTTGGTTTTGACATTTAGACACGTTTTAGCTTGAGGACGGCAGACAGTGTTTCGGACAAATAGGACCTGAAAAGCTTTAATATAGGGCATAGGTGCCTATGTAAAGGCCGGAAACGCAATTGTGATACTTCTTGTTTTGCAAATGTCTATTCTGTAAAATTTTCACGTGCGCATCCGATGTGGATCCGCGCGGTTCCGTTAAAAATCGGCGCGAATCCACATCGGATTCGCGCGTGAAAATTTTACAGAATAGCACTGCAGGTGTGCCCCCTATATTAAATAGAAAAACAATTACTTGAAAAAAAGTAACAAAGTTTGGCATAAGTCTTATTTAAGAAAACAATAAGCAAATTGAGTTTTATAAAAAAAAATCGACATAAAGAACTTAGTTTTGATTGAAACTGGGAATCGAGTCCGGAGTTCTCATGACGTCCAACTTTAAACCAACTTTTCTTGTTATTTTTGAAATGGCAATCCACTCAGTCTTCTCATTTGGGAATTCTTTTAATAAGTTTTGAATTTCGGTGATTTTTTTTTATCAAAATTAGTGGAATGAAGTTGCAACGAATTTCAATGAACTCTTTATTTCAGCCGTAAATTTTTAAGAAAAATAAATTTGCCCATGCGACTTTATTTTGATTAAGAAATACAGCTGCATCGTAGTTACAGATTGTTTAAACGCGAATATCTAATGTTTGAAAACAGTTAAAGAATTCTAAAGAGATAAGTTTCAAGAATTTGGCATAATGATGGTCGCATCACAATACATATACGAAAATTTATTACTATTAAGAAAAAATAAAAAATTGTTTCATGAAAACAGTGATGTTCACACACTTAATAAGAAACAAGAATAAAGAAACTTTACCTGCTACTAGCTTACTACTTAGCTTCACAAAATTAATAATTCATATAAAGGTCTTTGTGTTCGCTTTCCCAAGCAATATCCAAGAGTTTACCATAAATAATTTCAAAGATAGTATAAAAAAAGCACTTAAAAAAGCTTATTACAAAGTGTCTGATTATATTACAGACAAAAATGCTTGGGTTTGAACTGTTCCAATCATTCCAACAGGCTCTATATTAAATAAATCATGATTGTATTGACGCTGTAACAACATAATGATTTGTAAATGTTGTTACATTATACTTTTGATGTTGTGGAGTTTATTTCGCTCGTTTTTCTCCGCAGCTAAAAATGATTTCTGATTTCTGTTTACTAATTACACTAAGCTAATGCAGACGTTTTGTTCCTCAGTTTGCGGCCGCGATGTGGTCCGGTAAGAAGTGCTCCGAGGGCGGCAACCCCAGTCCTGCCTCCGAGGAGGAGGTGAAAGTGGTGCTGGTGGGAGACACGCAGTGCGGGAAAACCTCTTTGGTACAAAGGTTCATCTCCGACACGTTCATTGAGGTGAGACTACATTTTTTTAATTTTGAACGTAAGCATGTATATCACATGTTATGGTGGGAGTCACGTCATCATCATCAGCCTATTAATGTCCCCACTGCTGGCGCACAGGCCTTCCCTATGGATGGAATAGGGAGATTGGGCCATAACTACGCGGGCCCAGTGCGGATTGGTGGGTGCTAACGACTGCAGATGCAAACGGAAGCAACGGCTTAACGTGCCTTCTGAAGCACGAAGGAGCTCGAGATAGTAAATTTTTGGTCACCCATCCAATGACCAACCACTGCGAAAGTTGCTTAACTTCAACGATCGCAGCCGAACGCGCTAACCAGTTGCGCCATCGAGCTCCTCGGGAGTCACGTGGTGCGGGAAAACCCATTTGGTGCACAGGTTCGTCTCCGACACGTTCTTAGAGGTGAGACCACATTCTTGAGCTTTTAAGTTCCGAAACGCACTCGCTTTATTTATTTATAAGCAGAGTTATTAAATACAAAACAGGTTCCTTCGGTCTAACGATGTACTGACACTGATCGATATTTTCTTTTGCATTTCTCTTCTCGCTCAAAAAAATGGTGCTTCGAGTTTTGCACCACAAAGAAAGTCAATTACATTAATCAGATTCATGCTCGTTAAATCCTAATCTAAGAACATTCGAAACATCTAAGCTGACTAACTAGAATCTTCCCATCTCGCCTTAATGTCATCATTATTAAATTAATTTCGAATTTCTCATCCATTATCGGCTATATTTATCTTGAGCTCAAAATAATTGTCTTCAAAAAGCTAAATTAATCGTGCGCTTTCGCAGAGATTCTCCTCACAATTCAATTATACTGTGTCACTAAAATGTTCGGTTAACATTTTGCTTAACAAACAGATTAGATATCTGATAAGAATACATTCAAAGTCTTGTTTGATATTAATTTCTGAAGTACATTACGTTGGAGCAGTGTTGCCAGGTCCGATTTTCAAAAATCGGGAGGCGTTATAGAAAAAAAGAGTAGATGTATGGAAAGAGCTACAAGAAAAACAGTAGATGCAGGGGCGTACTTTTTCCGATTTGCACCCCCCCCCCCCCCCCTCCCGGAAATTGATAGATAAAGACCAGTAACGAAGGTGTTTCTGTGGCTTCTGCTGCCCCTCCTTTTTAGACAATTACATTTATTTTGTAACAATTATTAATGGCGGAAAATGCAACTCAACATGCAATTTAAAAAAGAAAATCGTATTCTAAAAAACAGGACATTCATGTAGAAAAACAGTAGAACAGGAGATCTCCTGTAAAATCTGGAGACCTGGCAACACTGCGTTGGAGATTCTATTACTGCTGCTCGGGTATCTCATTTATCAAATTCGGCGAAGGTAAATAAGACGGAGAATAAGGTTTAAAATAAATAATTTAACTTGAAATGAATATCTAATCAGATCATTTTATTCGCTTTCACAAATGGTAACACAATTTTAGATTGATCTTCTAATGGATTACATTACATTCATATGGAATGGAATGAATTTGGAAGATGAAAGAAACTGCATTGTGATAATGGAATTCATTCTTTCAGTCTACAGTGAAAACTAAAGATACCATCTTTCTTTTACATATTTACTATACAGAGTGTGATCTCGACCCAAACTCAGTAAATCTTAATCTCAGCAAACAATGCTTTGTTGTTATTCGCTAATACCTAGCTAACACCGACAAAGAAACCGAATTAGCAAGAAATAGCTAAAACGTTTGAGATGCCATTTCTTACTGTGCCAAAGAGAGCTAAAGGCCTGAAAAAGCCATTAATATCGAGCGTTTCATAAACACCATTTGCTATATTTAATAGTGAAAGGGAACAATAAATAAGGCTCAGGATCATCCATCAAATATGCCAGCGGGCACACAATTTTACGACATGTTTTGACTTTGGAGAGGTCTGCTTGATTTATAGATGTTAGTCAAATTGTCTGCAATCCGCTTAACTGAGATACACAGCTGAGTGGCGAGTCAATAGTGATGTGCCGAAGGAAATAAATCGATGCTAGTTCTACATGCGTAACTTGATTTGTCTGAAACCTTTATCCGGATCATGGATTGTTATTGCAACATATTTATGAATGCTTTCTATTTGAAGGCAGGAAGAGGTTCTTATTTAATTCTTAGGTTTTCACGCACATCACTCATTAAATAAAACTAGTTTTTACGGGTTAATGCACGAAACTTTATTTATTTATTGACGTTTCGCAGCCTTTTCAGGCTGCTTCATCAGATTTTTTTTTTATTTGAATTTTTTTAATATACAGTGATGCACAAGAGAATTGCATCGCTGATGCATAGGGTTCGGGGGAGCGCCAACAGTATTACAGTTGATGTTCTCGGGAAAAAAACAGAGTGCGCCATTCTGAGGCACTGGGTATATATACACGTCCGTGCAACTGGTGCCTTAGAGGGTAAATATATGAATTAATTTTATGTTTTATAATGTACTAACATAGTTTTTAAGGTTTGATTGTTACTAACATTTCTAGGGATCTAGACCTGAAATAAACATTATTATTATTAAACGTGGAAAACATTATTTTTCGTGTTTCGATCTATTGACTACATTATCGATTTATTGAACTTGGCATTTTAACATCACTATTGAAACCAAATTCGATTGTCACGTACTGGGCTTTAGGTGAGTTAAATGGAAATAGGGACGGGCTATATGTGCAAATGCTACAACTCTTCATAACACCTTTCTTCGCTTAGGGTTTTGACGGTTTTTATTAATATCCAATTTGAGGACTTGTGGTGGGAAATTCATGAAACTTTATCTTGTATTATGAAACTCAGGCCTACTTGCAGCAAAGCAAAATCTTGGTTTAACTAAAACTAGATTCAATCCATGGAAAAATGTTAAAAAGTCAATGTCAATTTGAAATTATTGTATGGCCAAAATCTAATTTTAGTTTAATTGAGGTTTAGCAAAATTGCTGCAAGTGGTCCTTGATGTTTTCAATGTTGGGGGTTTATGGCGCAATCCCTACACTAAATCCCCGGAAAGCAATGCCGGCAAGGCCAAAATTTAAGTCCACGCGAGTAGCCAGTACAATACTCGCAAATGTATGAAAAACACAGCGCGTGACATTTCAATCCAATTTGGTGGATTGCATTCGGCGTCAGTCACTTGTTTCCATCGGCTGTCACTGCCATCAAGCATGGCGATTCCCTAGCGAATAAAATTGATGCTACCTAAAAAAAAGTTGGTCAACTTTTATCAAGCGACAGACATAATGATTTTCACGTATTAAAAAAAAATATATTCCTCATTTTTGTTTGAAAATTAAGTTTACTAATACCTAATTGAAGTTAAAAAAAAAACTTATGGCTCAATTACATTTGGTCATTAGCCCGTAGCCCGTTAGCCATAGCCCACGAAAGACATTATTAATATATGATAGATAATTCGGGTACCCGAAGCAATATTTACACTGAAGTACGGACTATGGAATAAGGCGGTGTCGGGTTAACCGAAAAGGAAATCTTTTTTTTTATGTTTAAGGGGGCATACGAGCAGACGCCTCACCTAATGGTAAGTGATCACCGTCGCCCATGGACATTTGCAACACCAGGAGTATCACAAATGCGATGCCGGCCTTTAAGGAAGGAGTACGCTCTTTTTTTGAAGGTTTTTGGGTCGTATCGGTCCGGAAACACTGCTGGCGACAATATATTCCACAGTTTTGTCGTACGTGGTAAAAAATTTCGACAAAAACGCACGGTTGTGGACAGCCACGCATCAATATGATGGGGAGGAAATTTTTGTCGCGATGTACGATGGCGAAATGCAGCAGCTGGAATTAATCCGAACAATTCCTCAGAACACTCCCCGTGATAAATCTACACGATTATGGCGTACTCCGTTCATTAACAAAGTCGTTTATCTGAATTCCATTGGCACTCGTATTCGTGCAACAGCATACACACCAATAGCAAACACACTCAAAAACAACTCTTTATTGTAAGTTAAAAAAAAAACGGCGGGTTGCACTCCGGGAGTGCCGGCAGAAGTGAAAACTTGAATATTAACGTTGTGCATTTTTGATATTTTGGAATGGTTAGGGAATAATTTTGCATGAATTGCTTTAATTAATTATCAGTATAAAAGTTCTATCATGTATGTGGTAGAATACAATATTTATTTATTGCGCTATCGTACACAAAACATGACAATTTATATTACATTAAAAAAGTTTATCTCTCAGAAAAAGTCAACTTACATGAATCACATTTAAGCGCACCTCGCGACATCTATTGTAAATAAAATGCATTTCTTCGCAATAAAGCTGCCACGTGAACGTCCTAGATAGAGACTTATTATTGTAATACGATCAAATAAAATATTAATATGTTTCGTCCAATATATTGAAAGTCAACAACCTTTCCAATTTTATTGTGTGTCATGATGCGATCACCTGACGTATTTAACCTGACGCGAGTTTAATATTTTTTACCCATACAAAAAAAAGTGTACAACGCCGCTAAAGAAATTTTCACTTCAAGAAAAATATCGCAATATTCTCTGAAGTTTACAGCGAAAATATCAAATATTAGTGTCCATTCGGATTCGGACTAATAAGATTTGGTAAGCTATCACCCACTTTCATATGACCCCTTGAATGTTGAGTTCACCCACACGCTGAGGTCTCGATTCCTTGGGTAGCATAACTAGAGAAATCTTACTCTTTCCCACTTTTCACGATCAAAATTTTAGCAACATATATTTTTATTGTGAAAGTACGACAGGGCTGTCAACTTTAGAGATTGCTTGATAAATAAATAAATAAAATATGTTTATTTCGAACCAGAGTACATATAGTGTTAGTAACAATGGAAGCTTAAAACTATGTTAGTAAAATTTAAATTATAAATATTAAAATAGTTGTAATTTATTTTTGTATATTTGACGAGATGGACGCGAATTACGGAATTGAGCCGTCAGGTAGGGTTTTTAAAAACTAAACTTTAAATT